GGTGCTGGTGCTAGTGGTGCTGGTGGTGCTGCTGGTGCTGCTGGTGCTGCTGGTGCTGCTGGTGCTGCTGGTGCTGCTGGTGCTGCCGGTGCTGCTGGTGCTGCTGGTGCTGCTGATGCTGCTGGTGCTGCTGGTGCTACCGGTGCTGCTGATGCTGCTGGTGCTGCTGGTGCTGCTGGTGCTGCTGGTGCTGCTGGTGCTGCTGGTGCTGCCGGTGCTGCTGCTGGTGCTGCTGGTGCTGCTGGTGCTGATGGTGGTGGCGGCGGCAGTGGAGGTGGTGGTGGTGCTTGTGTTGGTGGTGGCGGCGGCGGGGCGGCAGTGGCGGCGGTGGTCGTGGTGGTGGCCGTGCCGGTGGTCGTGGTGGTGGTTGTGGTGGTGGTCGCAGTGGCGGTGGTCGTGGTGGTGGTCGCGGTGGTGGTCGCGGTGGTGGTCGCGGTGGTGGTCGCGGTGGTGGTCGCGGTGTTGGTCGTGGCGGTGGCGGAGAAATGCGGAGAGGCATGCCGGCAAGCTCTGACGTTTTGCCTATATTGGGTCCCTGAAAACTGACTCACCCGAGCTGTCAAGTAGACCAGCCTTGGCATTGGTGTGGTCCGCCAAGACAATGACCTTAGACATGCAAGTGCGGAGCCCAAACGAAAGCTGAACCCCAAACCCAAGAGAAGCGATCTGACCATCAGCACATCCAGCTTTGGGAGGTAAATCTAGCAACTGTTAGAACTCTCTTTGGCAGCCTGGAGATGGGGATGAAAAGATACACGTACCTTTCGGAAAGCTTGCGAGAAGCACCTTCAGGTCGACCCGGGCTCCAACATTTGATTGTTGACTGCGAGTGTACTGTTTTTTCAATGTGACTAACTACTGTCGCTAAGCCCGTGAAGTGTCCGTGGTTCTTGGTACGGGCGCAATGGGCCCAATGCCTGATAGTTGGCGAACATCGGGGTCTGCCAGTCTGGCAGCTTCTCTCAATCAACAGCACCACTGTCATGGCATCAGAACTCTGTCATAACCCCTCACAGCCCCTCATCACAACTGTATCCTAGGGTCCAATTAGGTACGGTACCCTAAGCTGAGAAAGTCCTTATGACTCAGATCCTTGGGCTTCTGCCCATTTAGTCGGTGGCTTGGCGGCATCATCCAGACCTGTCGCTTCAAAAGGTGAAAGCGAGGTTGCGAGATATCAAGGCATGAAGAGAGTTTTGACATTACGAGGGCTGTTACCATGAGGTTCTGGGAGCAATATATATATATATATCCTTCAGGCTGTCATTTGCTAAGATGTACGGTGTGGGACTTCAAGGTCTTAGAGGTTTGCCACTAGCTGTGGGTACTGCGCCTTCAAACTTCAGAGTGAACATGAAAAAGGCTTCCAGCGATTCCTGGCAAATGTCAGGACTAACAACAAGGGAGCCTGAGCAATCCTGGTTGTTGGAGGTTGCGATAAGCCGCAACGTGTCAACAGCGATGAACCTGCAAAGCAGTGCTGAGCATGAGTTTGAGGTTGGGCAGGTCGGGGTCTTGAGGAGGAAGGTTAGGAAATGAACACCTGGGACCTCGACATGCAATTCACGGAGGTTCTGCCGAGACGATCCCAAGGTTCCCAACCCCCCATTCGAAACCCCACTGACCTTAAAGCGACACGAAGCAGAAGAGCCATTGAAACCATAAAGAACAGCCTGACGACGGCCTCTTCATGTCAATACGCTAAGGCAGCTCTTCGGGGGGGGAGACATGCAGGAGTCTTCCCTACACTTCCTATTAGACTTGCGAAACACAATATCAAAGCAACCCATTCACCAAAGACGCAAGGTCCTTCATCGAGTTAGTTGCTGAGTTCTCTTGCCGACATATGCGTGTCACATGTTAGCTATTGGAACCAGATTGCAGATACATCCACATAAGGCCCCACTCAGTCAACCCTTCTCGCTATCAGCGCCTCAAGAAAATACCAGACTCCTATAAGCGCCCAAAAGTGGCCCAACAGTTGAAGAGACGCAAAGCCCAATTCTACTCGCGCAACTACCCGTTGAAAACCCCATCCCCCGCTACAGAGAGCCACCTCTACTCTTATAGTTTAATGTGTAAATCTAAGTAAGGTTGTGCGTAGCATACCATACGCATAAACTTTCCAATGGCACGTATGACTCCACTCAGTACTACCGGTCTGGCCAGCTGCTCCGAATCAGCTTCTTGTTCGGGACAATCGGTTCGACGGGGTGCGTCTCAAGGTAGGGCAGGCACCTGCTTAACAGGGGTTATGGTTGGGATTTGAAGTTTCGGGCTTGCAAAATTTGGGCTATGACGAGAGCTTAGATTTGCAGGTTTCTCCTTGGCGCGTGCATAGAGCATGAAGAAATGGATACCGAAAGCAGCCCATTAAAATCTCCAATCATGACCCGGTAAATTCACACCCGCCCTCCACTGCCTGCGAAATGCTGCTAAGACAAGGACTCTACCTCCAATAATCGGGGCTGCTTGCGGAACTTGAAGGGTCTGCGTTGGCATTGCCTTGAATTGCTAGGAGTGTAAAGCCCTTCCTTGCAGCAAGCAAGCTTACTCCATGGAAACTTCGAATACTGCTGGACCCGAAGGAAAGCGGAGTGCTAGCATTTGGATGCATTTGGTAAGACTAGCTGACTAATTAATGATGGGGTATAGTTCAGGAGAGAAGCTGTTCCAGCTGTGCAGCCAATGGAGAAGCCCACACACTGAATGAGAAAGCTGAAGTCGACTGCGCATGGGGAACCCCTGTCTGTCCAAGATAGAAGGGAGTGACCGCTTCGCAACCTTATCGTCAAGTTCTTGGGATGGGCTTTCTAGGGTCTGTTTCCGAGGTGTTAGCTATGAGCTGTTCTGGTTTCGGTGTTCAGCTTGGAAGGCAATATGAGGCTCCAGGCCTTGAGGTTGTTGACGCCGCCCCTGTACATTTTCTGATTCTTGTTTCGAACCCGGAGTCTGAAGCACAATGCGGTATATAATTCGCACAATCTTGCAACGAAACACTGAAGCTCTTTAAGCCTTCGATCTCCAGGCTTAGAACCCTGCAAGTTCAACGTTGCCCTGCTGCCAACCTGCCCAGGGGTATCCGCAGCGTCTCCAGCTGTAGAGTCTCGGGGTTCTCCCGAACGGGCCCTGGACACTCAGCATCCCAAATCCACTGAGCAATCAAATCAAATTGCCATTCTCTTCTAGAGAGCCCCTTCGTGCAGGTTGGAGTCATGGTGCGCTGCGCGTGAGTGGATTGGATGAGGCATTCACATAGAAGCTGAAGCATCGGATGTGTCCCGCGTTCGGGCTTTTCAGCTTTTTGGTCAAACTGTCAGATGTGGGTCTATCATGACGTAACCCGCGTCTGCTTTGCTCACGGCTATGTGCAGCGCCATGATGTCTCCCGCTTCACCAGTCATCTGTAGACTGTTGTTTGAGTCATTGCTTAGGTGATGGGTGTCTTGAAGCTAGCAGCTAGCAGACCCAGCGCAGGAAAGATTCTAATCAAGAGATATTTGTTAATGTACCTCGCCATCCTTGATAAATGGATGTGGCCGCGAAGATACCTGCAGTTGGAAAACTGCGCCTGCAAGTTTTGTTGTTGGTAGGTGACAATTTGGGCACTGAATCTCAGCCTTGCGCATGAGATAGCAACCATCTTTTCCAGCCGCATGCAAGCGCGTGGCTTGAGCTGCTATGCCTTTGAAACCTCAGATCAGGGTTTTTTGACTCATCCCGCATCAACGGTTTGAAGTCCAGATCTAGTTTCGGCTAACCTTTTTGCAACGCAGCAAGTCTCATGCCCATCTTTGTGCTGGTCCCAGAGTTCCGTCATGACAGGCTTCACCCAAGGTCTGACATCCGAAGCTACAAAGGTCTGTGCGGTAAGCTAAAGGACTGACTCAAACTTCCGTGAGGACATGACACAGAGGCTGAACCAGGCCTTACTTTGCCCAGCAACTACGATCACCACCTTGCCATGGGCTCGGCGGCTCTTTTGAATTCGGAACGCCTCCGGCTCTATGCTTACTGAAGAGTGGGGGAGTGGGTGTAAGTGTCATGCAGGTATATTATGGTGGATGGAATGTGATGATTGTGTAGGGATCACTTCGGGGATGCCCGATGTGGGGGGTCCGTTTTGCATCGCTTAACATGAGGATACTCGAAGTTGGAGCATCCATCCAAATCCATTTATTCTTTGCGCTAGAGACCTTCATAATATCCAAGCAAAAGGTCCGGCCACGACAGCATCAGCGACTATGACAATGAATGCTTAGTTAAGTGACAGATTGGCACCAAGGGGTCCTGCTTGTGGCTCCAACAAAATCAAAGCGCCACGACTGTCCGACAACTTGGATGAAGTGTAGGAGCAGTCTTTACTGCTATCAGGTGCTCGTCATCATGTTTCTATTGCATCAGATCGCCACCCAACATGCTGCTGTCCGATTAGCCTCCTGCAAGCTTGGCAGGCTGAAGTCATGAGTCGAATCTCGCACCTCGGACTCACAGAATGCTGGGGTCCGATGCTCTCAACTGGAATCTTTGGCGTGTTCTCGCCTAAGGTTGATCTTACCGAATATGTTGATTTCATGGCCGTCTCCTTTGGGATCTTTGGTATGTGTACATCAATCAAACTCATAACAAGGTTTAGCCACACGTAGCTACACTCAACTCCACATCGTGCTCCGCTCCACTCATCTGTCAACACCGCACTCCAGTGCGATGCGACAAAACTGCACCAGAACAAAAACAACACTCACAAGCACGGTGACCCCGACCGGGATCCCTGCCACTATTTAGTGAAACTCCTGGTGCAGCGTGGCCTCGAAGATGAGGAATGGCCAACATCCCATCGAGAAGTCACTGCTTTGAAACTCCCTGGCTCAACGGGTGGGCGTGGCGGGAAGCTTGAGCATGAAGTTGGCGAAGTCACTTCGGTCCTCACACTATTGTCAGTGCTCGTCGCTCCCCTCTTTTTGCCACCTTGGGAGCTAATCCTGGTGCAGCGTGGCCTCGAAGATGAGGAATGGCCAACATCCCATCGAGAAGTCACTGCTTTGAAGCTCCCACGAATCCCAAAGAAAATTTGCACCAGGTTGACTCCTAAGTTGAGGTCCAGAGGAAGAACCACGTCCGGCGAGGAATGCTCGCTCGTGTCCAAAGCTCGGCTTTTTCAAGTGAAGCTGTGAACCACTGGGCTGCGTCCAGGATGGACCTGCGAGAGTCATGCGGAAGGTCAGCGATGAAAGTAGACGAAGAAATTTCTTGGATATATATTTCCATCACTCGATGGGAAGCCCATCGGCCCCGGCGCCTGACCAGTTCTGAGTCTTCGGTAGACTCGAGCAGGAACGTCGCCCCACCCGGGCGGAAGCTTCCAAGATCAATGGGGACGATTCGTACCGACACGTTCCGGCACTTTTAGTCTTGCCAAGATGCACTCGAAGCGTCGGCGCAAGGTTTGGGTAGAAAAGGGCCAGAGCTTATCCTCTGGGTCACAATCAACGAAGGCCATTGTTATGATCCTCACCAGGTCAATCCGTTCGACTTTCGAAGCTTGATGCTTTGCAGCTTTCATCCTGGTTTTGGGCTCTTTGATCCTGAGGAGGACAAAAGCTTGAGTATACAGCGTGTCACGTGGCAAAACCAAGTCAGCTCTCTTCGCGTTTGTGGCCTCGCCTATACGAAGGAGGCCACCCCATGCCAAAGCAAAAATGCCAGCTTCGCGGACCCAGCCCCAAATCATGCAGGTTGTAAGGACAGCCAGAAGTACAAGGGCAGGGAGCGCTGTATGGTGGTTGTAAGGTTCTTCGGCCTGCCAAGCAAAGGCAAGGTCCCAAGCAGCTTGACACTGTCGTCGCAAGACCGGCTTCAGGGAAGTCACCGCGTTCACCGTCTCAGAAAAACGGTGGTAAGGCCTGCCGGACCCATACAGATCCGGCCGTAAGTCATTAGAAGATCAACGACCAGCGAAAGGCTTTCGAGCGAGAAGTTCCAAAAGCTCACTTCCAGTCATCTCCAGGAGCCATTGCGAAAAGGCTGCGGTTAACTTATCCCTAGCCGAGGAGGTCCGATCAAGTACCTTACGTCCTACGGGGAGGCCGAGACTATTACGGGTCCTTAGGCGGGCAACGGCTCCAGTGGCATGGAGAACACAGGTGCCAGAAGGATGCAGAGCAGGAAGAAGGGCCACACGGGGAAAGTCCAAGGCCCTTTTCTGGGAAGCCAAGGGTCTTGTCGAAGTCAAGGCTTGCAGAGTGCAGGTTGGCGAAGTATTTGGAAGCCTGCGGGAAGGCTTGGAGAGCAGCGAGGAGAGGCTGAGAAGAGCCAAAGGCACGCCAGTGACAGGAGGGAAAGCCTCAGCCAGTTAGCCCGGGAACGGCTAAGGCTCGACCAAGGCAGCAGGGAGTCCGGGCCCTCCTCAAGTCCAGTTTGAAAAAGGCTGAGTGGCCACGGCTCCGGCAAGGGCCTGTCTCTGGTAGGAGCATCGGACGGTAGGAGCAAAGCCTAGACCCAGGTAGAGGGAGGCCGCGACTTGGATCGCGGCACTCTTCTTGAGAGGATCCCCCACAAGGCTTGGGCAGAGGACCTCCCTTTTGCAAGTGCTCCCTTCGCCGCAGCAGAGTCCAAAAGAAGGACCAGGCGGCGGTCCCCGCCTTTCAGGGCAACATGTTTGAGAAGGGCAAGGGCTGACTCGCTTTCATACACGTTGATGTGTTTAAGCTTGTCCCAGGGCCAGGAGGCCTCGGTGACCCACTTCGCAGTCAACAGCGTATCGTTGACCAACAGGCTTTCCAGGCCAGCGCGGCTGAGAGCCCCAACGAAGACACGGGCTATGGCCTGAGAGAGCCTGGGGGTGTAAACAGCACTCTGCTTGGCATACTTTCCCTGCACGGGCAGGTGCTTGGTCCCTTTCGGGCATGCACACTTCGACCTAAGAGGCTCGAGGTCAACGTGGCAGCCAACAAGCTTAAATTCTTTAAGGTGAGGAGAGCCATAGGTACAGGAGGGCAGGTCGACCGCAACAATGCCAGCCAACTTCCGGAGGGCCCTCATGACCTTCAGCCAGAACATCTTGCTCCTCCTGGGGTTTTCCAGGATGCATGCGACTGCATAGGCAAGGCACACACGGACAACAAGGACAGCCATGAAGGCAAGGCGGTTGCCCAAGAAGGTTTTGGGATCGGATCTGCAGAAACCTTCAGGGTAGCAAAAGCCGCTGTGGACTTGCAGCAGGGCGGGAAAAGACTCCTGTGAAATAATGCGTTGCAACAGGGCCAAACCAGTGCCAGCGGCCACCCTCCGTACTTTGAGCCATGACATTTGAGCCTAGATGAGTAATAAGGTTTAGGGTTAAAGGATTGGGCTCCAGGGTTTAGGGTTTGGGATTTATGGTCACTAACGCATTGACCTCAAAGTAAAACCACCGCCAGTAGCCATTCTCGACAAGTGAGCCGCGGCAGTTGAGCCCATATGGGAAGTTAGGGTTTAGAGTTTAAGGTTTAGGGTCTAGTCCCGGGTTAAGGGTTTAGGGTTTGAAGTTGAGGGTTTGAGGGTCTGAGGGTTTGAAGTTTGGGCGCCAAAGTGATTTTGGCTGGGCTTGGCACCTGTTGCTCATGAGTCCTTTCCCAACCTCGTCAAAAAATTAACGCATCTAAGCCCCACACTGCAAACCTAACTCCCTAAGCCCTAACCCTATGCCCAAATAACATCCCTACACTCAGATCGACCCTACTCTAATCCCCAAACCCTGCACCCTAAATCCCAGACTCCATGTCAAGGCCACTGCGAAATCGTGGAAGCACGTTTTAGACTGAAAGGCTGATCTACATGCACGGAATATAGCCAAGGATTTGAGGATTGGGGGCTACTTACTTGGAGAATTTTCCAGCTGGCTACGAATGCAAAATGGATTGAAGTCCCCTGGGTCCTTGGGCCTTGAATCTCTAGGCTCTACACTACACATGTCTACGCCGCTCTACCTGCTCTGAACTCTGAACCCTGCAATGCAATGGCAACACACATTTCACGGCTTTGCGAACACAGAAGGTGCTGAGATCTGAGTCCATGCACTCCAAGACTCCAAAACTGGCAGGCCTCTCAGGCCCCGTCCTGATTCTGAGACTGCGCTGTCTCGATTTCATCATCATTACCATCACCATCGTCTGAATGCTTCCGCTTCGGACGCATGTCCTGAAACTTCTTGGTGCGCAAGGGCGGTGTCCACTGTAGAGCAGAGCTTCGACGCACTGTGTGGGCGAAGCAATACGAAAGGAAGGAAACAACCTGCTGGAGGCACATACCATTGCCCGCCAGCCGTTTGCGACTCGCAGAGGACAGGTCTTTCAGAACCTCTGGCATGAAGTTGGCATACTCAGACATCTTGCCCACATTGAGCGTGGGCCACCCCATTGCAAAGTCAAGCTCATTGGGCGTGAAGATGTGCTCCTTCGTGACTGAAATCAAAGCCGCAGACTTTGTCGCTGGTAGCAGCAGTGTACCCACCCGAGCTCGCGATTCGCTTTGAGAAGCATCAACAATGCAAGCCTTGTCTGCCGGAACACCCTGCCCAGAGATTTTCTTGCCCTCCTGCTTCTCCGCTTTGTTGATTGCAGCATTGATTCTTTCCTGGCAACTTGGGGAAAACAAGGCCATGAATGGCACCGAGTCAGCCTTTGAAAAACATCCCCGTTTCTTTGCATACTCCGCACGAACATTCTTGATATTTGCAGGCTCGTCCATGCCTGCGTAAATATCGCCATCCAAAAAGGTTGGGCTACCCACCAAACCCAAGAAATGCTGGGTCACATCTGCCTGCCCGCTTGGCCCCAACCAAACCAAAGAACTTCTCTTCGCAGCTGCAGCATACATCCGCCGGCGAACCACCGGAAGGCCCAGATCCTGACAGGGAATATACAACGGTAGAACGTCAGGACATTAGGGGTATGAAGCTTCCGGGCTTTGGGGAGCATAGGTTTATGATGAGATCCAATGAGGGAGGTCGAATCTTTCGTAACGCAACACAGAACATGTAGGAGCTCTGGGCAACGTTTAGGGTTTAGGTTAGGGTTTAGGGCCTATCATCAGGGAAGTGGGCAACTGTGATGAAGCAGCGCAGAACTTAACTCTCACCAGAAACATCTGTAGACCCTTCCTGGACCTGCAAATCAATGTTTAAACCTGATGATGATTTTGTGGATATAGGCCTATATTTCCATTGAGGGGGCATCTTCATCTAGAGGCACAAGGCATTCTGCGCCAGCTCAGCTCACACGCGACGGCGCTACAGGAAGAAAACAACGATTTCAGACAGTCCTGAGCGCTGAAAACGACGAAGAAGCATTCATAGCCAGCTTCAGTCAGCTCATCAGCAAAGTAATGAAACGGAAACCGATCCGAATTCTCCAACATAATGAAATCCAGGCCAGAATGCTTCATCTTCAGAATCCAGCAATGGTAAGATTCCATGGCCGGGTCAGCGTCACCCAGCTGCGGA